AATAATAATGATGATAATAATAATAATAATAATAATAATAATAAATATTACCCAGTCCGGTCTGTTTCTGTTGCTCCTCCCTATGAAGAATATTATCCTAGATACAATAACGTTAATATTAATAGCAGTAGTGGCAGTGGTAGTAGTAGCAATAATAACACATATCGAGAGTATGATAGTAGAGAACAAATATTGAGTAGAACTGCCAGATCGCATTCCCCATCATTATTGTATAATAGTAATTCAAGGTCTATAAATTATGAAGAAGACTATTATGGATATCGATTAAGCGAAACTAATAATAATAATAATTGGTATAGAGACAATAATAATGATCGTGAATATCATAATTTAAGACAAGGGACATATTACGATGATAATAGGTATAATAATAATAAACAAAGAGACCGAGTTTATACTGATCGTTCAGAAGGATATCTTGAAAGGGATTATAATAGACCTGAATATGACTATTCATTGCGTAGACGGCAATGGTAAAAAAATTTTTTCTTTAATAACAATAATGAGTTTTCTTCTTATTATATAAAAATGTATAATATATATATAAAATAATATTTATAATAAAAAATATAAAATGTAAAATCTTTATGATATCGCTCTACACGAGCCGAGCCCAGGTTAATACTTCAACCTATAATTTATAAGCCAAATTTTTCTCTCTGGCAAGGGTTTAAAAATTAAAAATGGGCATACTCCAAAGTTTGGTTATAAATTAGAGAGTAATTTGATTATATTTATTTTTATAGCAAAAGATGTATAAACACTTACAAATTGTTTCTTAATTTGTTCATATGATTTTCACTGATAAAATTCACACCATTAACATCATTTCTTTTTGAATTTGACTTATCCGAAATTTCTTTCCATTCATCATTTGAAGAATTATTTCTAAGCCATGGGTAAGGATTTGATGTGTCAACAATTGAAAAAACTATTGGATCATCATAGTTCAAGTGATCTGATGCATATCTGTCTATTATGTGGTTTAATGTAAGTTGCAGTACCATTTGTTGTTGGGTTGCAGCCAATGATGATTACACTGATTTAGACCATCATCTCACCTAAAGATTCTTCTTCTAACCATCATTTATTAAGAATAAACAGTAGCAGGTCGTCACCTTTAGGATATAGGAATGGAACTGAGAAATTTACTATGAACACAGATTATTATAGAACAGGAGCAGGAGTAGGAGGAAATAATAATAATAATAGCAGTAATAATAATAATAATAATCATAATAATAATCATAATAATAATAATAATAATGATCGGATACAACCACCACCATCACCGTATATTATAAACCATCACCATCATCAAAGATCTAATAGAGCTAGGTCAGCTAGTCCTAGAAAAGATAATAATAACAATAGTTTTGAGTATTCTACTAGTCGTGGTGGTGGAGGATATTATCGTGAAGAGGCAAAATCGACTTCCCCCAATAGGTATTATTACAATAATCGTTCTGTTGCAACAGCGACAGCAGATTATGATGAACGTTATCATGCAAGACATCCAGAACAAGATTTTCGTAGCAATGAAAAATATTATAATAATAATGATGATAATA